AATAAGTGACCAAACCATTCGATCTTCCATTTCTCAATGGAATTTGCTGCATTGTGTGGTGTTTCCACAGCCATGTTTTGGTAATATTCATTGTCTAACTGAGAACGACAAAGAGATGAAAAGCCAAAAATAAAACACAACCACTCACATTCAGCCTTGGGAATTCTGCGATTGGACTGTGGAGCCAGGACTTATCAATGATTGCATCAATTTCCTCAGATGACATCAAAGTAAGCCTCATTGTTAGTGTACTTGACGCCGGTCCGGCGCCAGGGAATGTTTGAAAGCTGGCCGGTTGGCAGCGTTGCACCAACACTGCAGTGACATGAAACATGTAAGAAGATTAAAAGTTATAAGCCTTGCGATATATTGGACATAACGGTGGTATTCCAATTCTTTTATAGACCGGTTATAGTCATAGTCACCAGAAATACAGTTTGTTGTTGATGGAAGTAGTCGGTTACAATAAGTTGGCCATATATACACAACATTATTACATAAGAAATTTTGTAAGCCTATATGTAAATCGGCCCCCAGGCTATACGCAGACTCAACCGCCGCTAAACAAATGAAATGCATTCTACGTGAAAAACACAGCTTACAGTGTTGCACCAAGCACAGCAAAACTGCAGAAATAAGCTGCCATCCATATGTGGAAAAAGTCTGCATTTCAGCAAAGTGGTCTGTCCCAGAGGCAAAAAATAACTTCCAAAGCTAAAAAATATGCTGCCACGTTCCTATCCTATATATCGGATATTTCTAAAGGCTGGAAGTTCCTTTTTATAGACCAATTCACACTCAATTAGTAATGTGGTCAATATTGTTGCTTTTATTTCCCACGACGATGGTTTCGGGCGGAGGAGTGCACTGGGGAGGATGCTGGTCTTATCCTAGGACAAGGAAATGCAACCTGAAAACCTTATGTTATGGCAGACAAGGCCCTTAGCCTTGACTGGCAGCTGGTCTATGAGGGAAGTTCTGATTTGCGGACAGATAGAGCATCTGCAGCCTACTTTGTTCTAAACATACTGGTGTTAACTTTCCTGTGGAGTAAACAAGGCAGGTGTAGAGAGGCCTCACGATGCATGGGCAACAAATGGTCTCTACAATACTGCCCGGGCTTTGTGCTATGGAGAGGATGAAAATCATCTCTGGTTGTAAGTGGTCTCGGAATAGACTTTTCTTAACACGAGCGGGTCTTGCTAGTCACACCGCCATCCTCATGGGCTGGGAGTCCCCTGCATCCTCAAAGCGCAATAAAACACTATCGTCTGGAAAGATGGAAAGGTGCCAATCATTTCCCAGGACTTATTTTTTTAACGCTGGGTCAACCTTGAAGGTCAGGTCTAGCTGTTTTTTGTTTTTTTAAATTAACTTTGATAAAGATCCTTCTACTTCTTAGTGTTCACTGGCTGTAAACTCTGGTGAAGGGTTTTCTGGGACTCTCATGGCACCAGTAGTATCAGAACTCTTCACTGGCTGCTGAAGATGGGGACGGAGCGCTTATGGGAGTGCCCCGAGTGCTTTGATGTCGGTTCTTGAATTAAATCAAAGCAAATCAAATTTCCAGAACCTTATTTTTGCGTGCACATTCGATTTACAGATCAGGCTTATTTGTGTGCAGATTGATAGTTTTTTGCCTCTCAGGCAGATGTACTTAACGTCCCAGGAGATATGCCTAATTTGTCTTGCTTTACACCGTGCTTATGGGTCTTTTTTCCACAGATCTTTTCAATGGTCACAGCAAGTTCCAATTTCCTTATTTTCATGACAGGACAACAAATTATGACTGTCTCTTTCCGATATTTGTGTTGCCTTCGAGCCCTTGCCTCTTTCTAAACATCTGGATTGCTCTTTTTAGCTTTCCAAAGGATTGTAAGGACTTTTCTGTAAAACCACATCTCCTAGGCCTCAAGAAATTGTCTGGCTGCAACTGACAAACACAAGCATTCATTAACAAGAGCAACTGACAGCAACTGACAAACACAAGCATTCATTAACAAGAGCAGAACAGCAACTGGCAAAACACAAGCATTCATTAACAAGAGCATAACAGCAACTGACAAACACAAGCATTCATTAACAAGAGCAGAACAGCAACTGACAAACACAAGCATTCATTAACAAGAGCAGAACAGCAACTGGCAAACACAAGCATTCATTAACAAGAGAACAGCAGAAAACACAAGCATTCATTAACAAGAGCAGAACAGCAACTGGCAAACACAAGCAAGCATTCATTAACAAAGAGCAGAAAAGCAACTGACAAACACAAGCATTCATTAACAAGAGCAGAACAGCAACTGGCAAACACAAGCATTCATTAACAAGAGCAGAACAGCAACAGCAACTGAGCAAACAGCAACACAAGCATTCATTAACAAGAGCAGAACAGCAACTGGCAAACACAAGCATTCATTAACAAGAGCAGAACAGCAACTGGCAAACACAAGCATTCATTAACAAGAGCAGAACAGCAACTGGCAAACACAAGCATTCATTAACAAGAGCAGAACAGCAACTGGCAAACACAAGCATTCATTAACAAGAGCAGAACAGCAACTGGCAAACACAAGCATTCATTAACAAGAGCAGCAGAAACAGCAAAGCATGAAGAGCAAACACAGCAGCATTCATTAACAAGAGCAGAACAGCAACTGACAAACACAAGCATTCATTAACAAGCAGAACAGCAACTGAACACAGCATTCATTAACTGCAACTGGCAAACACAAGCATTCATTAACAAGAGCAGAACAGCAACTGACAAACACAAGCATTCATTAACAAGAGCAGAACAGCAACTGACAAACACAAGCATTCATTAACAAGAGCAGAACAGCAACTGACAAACACAAGCATTCATTAACAAGAGCAGAACAGCAACTGGCAAACACAAGCATTCAAACACAAGCATTCATTAACAAGAGCAGAACAGCAACTGACAAACACAAGCATTCATTAACAAGAGCAGAACAGCAACTGACAAACACAAGCATTCATTAACAAGAGCAGAACAGCAACTGACAAACACAAGCATTCATTTTAACAAGAGCAGAACAGCAACTGACAAACACAAGCATTCATTAACAAGAGCAGAACAGCAACTGGCAAACACAAGCATTCATTAACAAGAGCAGAACAGCAACTGGCAAACACAAGCATTCATTAACAAGAGCAGAACAGCAACTGACAAACACAAGCATTCATTAACAAGAGCAGAACAGCAACTGGCAAACACAAGCATTCATTAACAAAGCAGAACACAAGCATTCATTAACAAGAGCAGAACAGCAACTGGCAAAACACAAGCATTCATTAACAAGCAGAACAGCAACAGCAAACTGAGCAAACACAAGCATTCATTAAAAAACAAGAGCAGAACAGCAACTGACAAACAGCGTGTCTCTCTCATCACTGTCTGCCTGAAAGAGACTCAGTCTCTCACCAGCTCTCCTCTCTCGCGTACTTTCATATTCAAGGAGTCACTTATATCCTGTACACATCCATTTTACAAATCTGGCTTACCTGTATGCAGACTGTAATACATCATTTCATTTGATGACTGGAATGTGACACATCATTTTATAAGATGATTGATATGTAACACGTTACTTCATTAGATGATTGGAATATAACACATCATTTCATTAGATGACTAAAATGTAACACATAATTTTATTAAATATGTGGTATGTAATACATCATGTTATTAGATTACTGGTAAACACATCGTTTCATTGGATGACTGGAATGTAACACATCATTTTATTAGATGACTGGAATGTGACACATTGTTTCATTGGATGACTGGAATGTAACACATCATTTAATTTGATGACTGGAATGTGACACATCATTTCATTAGATGACTGGAATGTGACTCATTGTTTCATTAGATGACTGGAATGTAACACATTGTTTCATTAGAAGGCTGGATGGAATGTAACACATCATTTCACTAGATGACTGGAATGTGACACATCATTTTATTAGATGACTGGAATGTGACACATTGTTTCATTAGAAGGCTGGATGGAATGTAACACATCATTTCACTAGATGACTGGAATGTGACACCTTGTTTCATCAGAAGGCTGGAATGTGACACACCGTTTCATTAAATGACTGAAATGTAGCACATAATTTAATTAGATGACTGGGATGTACCAACCCACCAAGCCTTGCATAGTTCCTATGAACTCTCATATTTACTCTGTGCATTATTTACATGGTTAATCTCTCTTGCGATTCTTACATATCTTACTATAGTCTTGGCAAAGCAAACAGCATGTGTATGCATTAAACCCAAAAGGCTTGTTTTATATGTTATCTTGAAGTGAAGAATTGTGATCTACCCTGCCAAACAAGAGTTCTGTTCAATTAATCTTTACTCCATCTTCTTCATTTTCTTCTTTTTCTTCTCTCCAATAGTTTTCAAATGCACGGGCCAAGGCCTCTATTAAGTCTGTGGCGCGACACATGGTTTCTACTGATCCATCACCTTGGTTTCCACTGGAAAGCCAACCGGCCGAACCTGGGATCTCTGTAGTGAACGCAGAGAGCATCCATAGCCAATGTTCAGTAGTCTCTTTTTTACAGTATCAGAATAAAGACAAAACGGTGCTTTATTAATTTCCTACCCCAAACAGGGGAAATCCATAGGTCACATGACAGTCTAATATTTCAGGGGGTGGTAGATAGGCTGCATGCAATCGTGGGACTTATGCGGCATGCATTCGTTGGACCTAGGCTGCACTCTCTCATGGGGCGTAGGTGGGGTGAGGTTAGGGCCAGTTCTAGATGTTTTTGGGTCGTTAAAATCATCAGAGAGCCCGGAAACCCAGTCTTACCACCCTCTGAAATGTTGAACTGACTTGTGACGTCATCTGGGGGATGATATTAATAAAGAGCCGACAAAACTTGCACAAGCCACAAACCTTCAGTGGTGACTACTGCGACAAAATACAAGTTGTTGCGATAGATGTTGATGAGGTAATGATGTGGAGTGGCAATAACTGGTGGTACATCTTCTGGATTTGACGCCTGATGGGAGAAAACAATTATTAGTAATGCATAAGAGAAAGATAACATGAGAAATGTCTGGGCAACTATTTGTAACAATAATTACAATCGTTTGTTCATCCATCACAAGTTATGTGGACCACTCTTTCTTTTATCCGTCATGAAACTGCAGTTAAATGTTTGTGAGTCTGGAGGTGACTTGTAAGTCCAATAAGTGCCTGGAAGAGTCTAAGGCAATGAGAGCAGGGCACAGTCTCTGTAGATAAAGGGCCTGTTTGACGGTTCTTTCTGACATAAATGCATGAAAAGTGACTAGATAGCATGATGAATTGGTTTAAAGTGAAGAAGAGTTGTGCAATTTCATCGACCTCACTCTTTCACCTGTGTCCATCTGAATCCAGCGGCAAGATAAGTCAAGATGGCTGGAGATGAAGTAACAACAGTTACAATATAAAGAAGACATTATACTGGACATGACCTGAGAAGCACTAGTAAAATGAAAAATAAAGAGACTGCAGAAGAAAGGATGCTGGAAAAAAAAACCATCTAAAATAAACACTGATGACTTTAGTCTTGCTCCAGAACCTGAGTGCTGCATGCACATCCGTTTAACAGATCTGGCTTAATTGTATGCAGATTGTTGGCTCCTTGTCTCTCAGGCAGATGCACTCTGACTTCAGAAGAAGCCCCCAATTAGTTGACTCTTTTGACATGCTTGTTGGGGAGGCAGTGGGTCTGTTCTTGTTTTCCCAACAGTGGGGCTCTGGAACCCATACGGGGATGAATGGAACTGATTAAATAGACTGTGAGCTCTATGTGACATCTAATGGTAAAACAGGACAATGATGATGATGATGAAAGGAAAGATTTTAGTCAAAGCCGACAGATCCAGGACCCCTGAACAATGCTTCCATCTTAGCCTGCTGGGAGAAGCGACTTATTCATCATTATCATGTGTAATTTTTTTTTCTTCTTCTGCGTTCGACATCAGTCATGCTAAACAATGAGTCCCGTCTGGGTCACAAATAGGATTGTGCGTTTAAGGTCGCCACCGGTCCCCTATAGCTTCTCTTGCACTGTGGCTCCCTTGGGCCAGATCCACAGTCTTTGCTGGGAGAGGTTAGGGCAGTGCTGCAGTATGTGCTCAGGGGTCTGTCTTTCTGCTCCACAATCACAGGCAGCAGATTCTTTTGTGCCTATCCTGCACAGGTGTGCTCGAAGACCATAGTGTCCTGTCCGAAGTCTAAAATGTGATGTTTGTTCTTTCCTGTTGAGTTTGTTTATGCTGTCACTCTCTGGTCTGTAATCTTTGTTCTGCCTTCTCCACTCCCGCTTGAAAGACTGCTTTAGCGCTGTTTTGGTTTCCTTGTAGCTGTGTGGTGGATGAGGTTGTGGAAGATTACTCCCAGCTTTTGCCAACTCATCTGCTCTCTCATTTTCTTGAATACCACAGTGGGCTGGTATCCACTGCAAGACCAGTTCTGCATCCTTGGAGAGTAAGCCAATGTTGGTCCTTAGATCTGCAATTAGTTTGTCTTGTTTTTTGCTTGATAGTGCTTGGAGAACAGACAATGAGTCACTAAGTATAACAATTTTGTGCCCAATGTGTTCTTGAGTGATGAGATGTTGGACTGCAGAAAGGAGGGCAGTTGCCTCAGCTCTGAAGTTAGTGCAGATGTCACCTGCTGGTAGAGAGAGAGTTTCTGCTCTACTGCTAGGGGGTTTAATGTATATTCCACAGCTCTCCCTTTCTGACTGCATCTGTAGCAGAGCCGTCAGTGAAAACCTGGGTCCAAGTGGTGTTGGGATACTTCTCATTAAGATCATGTGTAATGATGCATAGGTTGTCATGCTTCACCATCTCATACGATCACCAGAATCATGGATCAGGTCAGTGCTCATGTTCTCCTTCAATCCATATAGCAGAGCAATCTAGATATGTATCTCTGTGCCTTCTCCTTGCTCTGTTTCCTTTGTCAATTCCCCTGCTTTATATATATTCACATAAAATGTGCAGTTTTCAGTCTTGTTTAGTCCTTATTTTTCTACTTTACAGAATCTTTACTGCCCTCTGTTTTCTTCTTATACTCAACATTGTGTCGGTGTCTGTGGCTTGGGCCATGCGAACAAGCTTTGTAATGCTGGGGCGCCAGGTTCGATCCCAACTGCGGGCCTTGCACCTTGTGCTGGGTTTGACAGTGGTATCGACATGCGGACCATCCAGAAAGCAATGGCAAACTACTGGATGTAAACTTGCCTAGGAAACCACAACAGTCAAAAAATGCTTGGGTTGGTTCTGCAACATCCTCTAAAGGATTCGCAACTAACTTTAACTCAACATTGTGATCATTCTAGGAGTCACCAGTGCACAAACTCCATATAATTCTAGCAAGGATACTACTCTGTATAAAACCATAACTGGCATAAAGCATAAATATAAAACAACAATGACAAGACACTCACTTTACTCTGGACCTCAAAGAAGTAGTCACAAATGGACTTGTTGACCACACTCTTCCAATGCTTCTCCAAGAACACATCCCTATTCATCAATGGCAAACAAAAGGTAATGCATTTTTTGTGAGCATTTATGTATAATAAATTAATATTACAGATTAAAATGATTTAAGAATCAACACTATAAGATAGCACACCAGGTATACCCACAGATCATCATCATCATCATCATAAACAACTTCTGCCATTAAGCGTCACAGGGAGGAATAATCTGCGATCCAGTGTGTGCTGGGTGCCACTGGTTACTGTCCTGTAAATGAAGGCGTAAGTGTCTTTAATGTAGTCGATCCATATTTTCGTGGCTGTAATCTTGCTCTTGCAGCTGATCTTCTGAAATGTAGTGCCTGTCATTGTATTTGATTTTGCTGCATTCTAACCAGATAGCAAAACCAATTGATCTGCCATAAATGTACATTAGATTAGGAAAAGAGAGATAAAGAAAGATAACTGGAGTAGATTCTCAACTAACATCCTTTTGTCATGGCATAGAAAATGCAGAGGAGCGACTGGTCAAGTGGTCACAATATTTTCCTTCCATGTGGGAGAATTATGTTCCATCTTCAGTAAGGGCTGGAGATGTTTTTCTATCACAGCAAAATTAACATCCTAACCTGCACAGCCCGTGGCCACTGCACTAGCCATGCGATCATGAACAATCAAGCTCACACCCCCTCCTGTCCTACACTGCTAAATAGGTAAGTAAATATAGACAGGAAAGACTTTTTTTTTTTTTTCAACAAAAAGGTGTCAGTATTACTGGAGACACAAGATGTGGTTGAGCCTGTTCATCTATGCTGGCTGGAAAGGAATTTGATAAAGACAGCAACTATCTAGTATAGTTGAGCTGTGTTTACAATCAACTTACAATACTCAACAATTTCTTTTCTACATCTTCAGCAGTTGGCAAAGTTCAAATTCTGATGGTACTAGTAGCAATTTGGTTGTAAGTCAGTATTGCCTTTCCTCCGAGTGCTAAATATTGACCACTGGTCACTTCCCCCTGCACCAATATCTCCAGACTGTGATGATCTGTTCCTGCTTCCACAAAGCTCACTTGTTCCCAGTGTTCTGACCACATCTAGCTGGCCCTGCATCAATTCAGCACCAAGCACAGACAGTTTAACTTGTTATAACAACTTTAAAGCACAGACTGAGAGAGACTGAGTCCAGAATCCAACAGCTAAAGTGTTACCTATAAACTTTCCCAATGGTGAGACACCCAATAATACTAATGGAAACTAAAGATGGATCATAAATGCAATCTTGTTACCAACATTGTGTTAACAATGCCAAACCTGGGCACTAACACATGAACAAGAACAGAAACTAACGATGTGTGAAATCAGATGTTTCAAAAGAATAAGAGCAGAAACTAATGACGTGAAATCAGATGTTTTAAAAGAACAAGAGCAGAAACTAATTAAATTTGAAATCAGATGTTTCAAAAGAACAAGAGCAGAAACTAATGACTTGTTAAATCAGATGTTTAAAAGGAACAAGAGCACAAACTAATTTAAAAGGAACAAGAGCACAAACTAATGACATGTTAAATTAGATGTTTGAGAAAAGTAGTCAACAAAACAAGAAGAGACCATAAAAGAAATGACGACATCATTAGAAAAACCTGCAATTAGATTTTCTGAAAAACAAAGACTGAAATGGTTTAGCCAATTGGTCAGAATGAGTTGAGTTGAGTCAAGAATTGACATCACAACACTCAGGGCATTCCCATGTGCTCTCCATCCTCATCTTCAGCAGCCAGCGCAGAGTTCCCGTTCCAATACTGATTGTACCGGTTATAATCAGGTTATATTCCGCCTTGCCTTGCTCTGAGTGTAGTGAGCCAGCCACACCCTCTGGTTACACCGTGTCTGATTCTCTCCAGGCCATAATAATCTTGTTTCTCTACTGATTCTGTTGCTTGTTCATAAAGGACCTTGACCACATCTGCCTTGTCATGTATCAATTCACTACCCAGTGGTGCAAATCCAGCCAATCTGTCTGCCTGTTCATTCTCCACTATGCGGGCATAGCCTGGAAAAAAGTCCCAAAGTATGCTCATTACCCATGGCCTTCCAGTGAAGCTTGCCACTCTGCTCAAAGCATCCCTGTTGGCCAGAATGAACCCAGCATCACTGGCTGCAACTGCATTAACACTAGAATGAAACATTAGGAGGCAGGGGAAGGCAAGCTAATGATCATGCACTAACCCAGAGACCAATCATCATCCACGCCTGCAACCATTAACAGTATTAAGTAGAGATAAACAATAGATAGACAGAAAGCATAGATGAGGGTAGACAACAGTGAAAGCCTACAGCTAGTATCACAAGGGCTAACATTCTGAGAGGTGGCTGGCCAAGCAATTAGAATGCTGGGCTCTCAAGTGTGACACCCAGGTTCGAATCCTCAGATTGGGGATTTTTCTGTCGAGGACAAAAATAGGATTCTAACCTACACAGTTCATGGCGACAGCACTAGCCACATGGCCCTAAATCCTCAGGCTGAGACCCCATCAGCCTATATCATCATCATCAGTTCTCGTTGTGCCTAGTGGCACATGAGGCTTCAGAGAGGACTTTCCATGTTTTCCTGTCACGTCAGCCTATATGGCAAAGTGGTAAATACATGGCAGTAATGACTGTTTTGTAACATTTTACAGTAGAAGCCTACAGCTGGTGTCACAGTGGTTAACATGACAGTTTCTGACTCAGCCACAGCTGTGCTTGGCTTAAACAGGTCGGCTCAGCCGCAGGCTGAGGTCATTAGTTATAGCTGGGATATTCAGATAAGGGAACATTAGAAACTAGAACATCTACGGACATGATTATCTGACATGAAGAAATGTAAGGTCTTGACAAATGCCTACTTTGTCAGGGTTATCACACGAGATAAAGAAAAGTCAAGTTACAATGAAATGGGTGAAGGGAGGAGAAAGTTTCCTTTAGAAAAATATATTATTCACAGATACAAGAAAATACACTTGGTGGGTGGGGGGTGGGTGGGGGGGGGGGGGGGGGGGGGGAAGAAACTGGCCCATTAAAATTACCATATTTGTCCATGTGTAAGACTTCTTCTGGGTCCATCTGAAGATGTAAATGTTTTGAACCTGTTTACAACATGGCTGTGATAGTTGCATTTTTTAGTCGATACATCCAACTTCTGCAGACATTTGTTGCCTGGATGAGCCTTCCCAGATGTATAAGACGATGTGTCTTCCTCACTTTTTTTTTTTTTTTACATTTAAAGTTATGGTACATTTTATACGGGAATCGCCGTGGCAGAGTGGCTAGACGCAAAAATGACCTTGGTTCTGAGGCCGACCCTGGCTTGAATGGGTACCTGGGCGCAGCCCGAGAAATAAAGGCGGCCAGCGTGATGCTGATAGGTCTACTCCTATATGCCCTATAGGCCTTACGGCGTGGAAAAGGGTCCTTTACTTTCTTTTTTTTTTTTTTACTTACATCTTATACATGGAATGTGATTAAAATATCTATTTCTTAATTCTGGGCTTATAAAATATGAGTCACCTTGTACACGAGTGCACTTTATGCACAGAAATATAAGGTAAATGAAAGTTTCTCTTGTTGAAAATCTAATATCATTATGTTCTGTGCCCATAAGCATAGACTATACTATAATGTTTCACCAACCCTCCCAATTATCAAAATCACAGATTAGTTCAGTGTTCTTCTCTCACCTCATCCATATCAGCATGTCATCAAGATGTTTACTTCTTTGCCTTTCCCTTGCTTTCTTTCAATCAATGTCGGCAGTCACTGCCAAGTTCTCAAGTCCATTCTTTTTCATAACATGTCCACACACACACACACACTGTCTCATCATCATCAGGTGCCTTGCCAACTGGCGTGGGCGATCATGCCTCCCCATAATCTGCGATCTCCTGCAGCATGTATCAGTTCATGTGCCGACACACCTCCATGCATCTTCTCTCGTTGTCTTCCTCTATCCCTTTTTCCACATATCTTTCCAGTGGTCACAACATGTTCTATTTTCCCTCTTCTCATAACATGGCCGAAAAATTATGACTGTCTCCTTCTGATGTCTGTGATAAGTTGTCTTCGGGCACCCGCCTCTTTCAAAACTTCTTGGTTGCTCTTTTTGGCTGTCCAAGGTATTCTAAGCATTCTTCTGTAAAACCACATCTCTGAGGCCTCTAAAAATTGTTTGGCTTGCCTACCGATTGTCCAGGATTCACATCCATAAGTTAAAACTGGATGTAAGTAGCAAGCAAGAATTCTTTTTCTAACTCTCAATGACAAGGATACATTGCACAAGATGTTTTTCATTTTATAAAATTAAAATGCAGTTTTTGCCTGTCCAATTCTGTTTCTTATTTCAATTATGCATCTTCCATCTGATGTTAACCATGTGCCCAGATACTTAAATTTCTGTACTTGTCCTAAAATAACACCACTGACTTTTATTACACATTTAGGAATAATTTGTTTCTTTGATACCACCATTACTTCTGTCTTCCCATTATTCAAACTGAGGCCCATTCTTCCACTTTCTAACACCACAATGTCTATCATTTCCTGACTAGAAACACTGGCTAGAAATGAAAAAAGGTGAAGGTACTCATCTCAAATTTACTAACAAAAGATGCCGGTATGCACCACAAAGTGTCTATTGAAGTAATGCTAAAAAGGGGATGCCCTAAAAGGTGCCAATTCTGCATAAAGTCAGAAAAAAAAGCCTTGCTAGCTATAAAACATTGAGACATGACAGCTGCTGGATTCTGCGTCAACTAGCAGTCGGAAATGACGAGTAGAGTCGACTGCAAAAGTTAACATAAATCATAAACAATTACAACTGTGCATAAACTACATATGTGATAAATATCACAAATAATAAATATATGTTGTTTTCGATTTCACTGACCTGCCTCGTGTTATTTGTTTGTTTTGCTGTTTTAATTTCGCAAATAATTGTTATGTACGTTATTATAACCTATACTATACTAATTATTAGCCCTATTACTAACTATTGTCTCTTTCGACAGCAGGATTGTTCACTGCAGGCAGTCCAGTGAAACTCAAACTCTAAAACGACTGTCAAGAAATGTAGTCTAGCTAAGCAAATAAGCACAATAAATTACTATATATGTGTGAAAATATTCTCACCCTGTGTTGTTGATCACAAATAAGCTGTGGATCATGTTTATTCAGTGAAATAAATATAGAAAACAAAAGCCGACATCGGCGGTCGGAAATACGTGTTGTTGTAGCTCCGGCAGACGACAAGCAAGGGGGCATCAATCTCCGGTGTTTATGTTAATTATAACCGCGGTTGTGGACCTTGGGCATAGTTAACTCCTCTTATAGCCAGTTGTAACTTTAACTCTTTAATTTCTACTAATTTTTTTTTTTAGCTTATTGTTCTCATTTGTAATTTTCTCCTATGTGGACCCACTACCACCTGATAAATATGTCGTTAAAAACGACTAAATGTAAGTATATCGTCCGAAATTAAAGTGCAACTGCCTGAGAGGCGAGGAACCAACGGTTTGTTCACAACTAAGTCAGGTCTGTAAAACGGATATGCACACAGGACTCACATTTTAGAGCAAGAAAAAAGTCCAGGAGTAAGGGAACAATCAGAACGCTTCGCTGAAGTTTAGAACCAGTGAACGCTTAAAATAAGAAAGATCAAGAAAAGATATAAAACCGAACGAAAGGTATATTAGCAAGCTTCACAATTTAACAAAACGCAAACGTTGCGGCTACGAAGCCTTCGCCAGCACATACACAAATCAAACAATATGGACGAATGGGACAAGTACAAACAGATAGTAGCAGTTCTGGGCGGGCGGGACACACAAGGTGGGTGAAATTAATGAACTGCTGCGAAGCTATAAAAAATATCAAGAAAAGATATAAAACCGAACGAAGGTATATTAGCAAGCTGCACGATATAAAAAATACAAACAAAACGTGAACGTTGCGGCTATAATTCTTCATCAGCACACACACACACACACACACACACACACACACACACACACAATAAATCAAACAATATGGACGAGTGGGACAGGTACAAATAGATAGTAGCGGGCGGGCGGGCGGGACTGGAGCTTTTTTTAATTATTATTATTGAAAATGATGCGCTCTGCATCACTGTGACTGGTCTAGTAAAGTGAAAGTTGCTTATTTGGTGCTCTTAGAAAATGAAGAGGACCCAGAGGTCGACCACGCAGAAATGGACCTCAGAAATATCAGAGACACTGAAAAGTACTTATACAAAGCGAACAGAAGGGCCCATTCTAGAGATCTCTTCCTTCCCTGACGCCTGGAGGTATTCCAGTAGTAGAAAAAAGATTCACAGAATCCGCCCAAGGTAACGCTGGTCTATCTACAAAAAGTCACATTTTTCTTTCATGAGTTTTGAAAAAAACGACCATTCTTTGGGCTGCTACCAAATTCCTGCTACCCCGTTCAACTTTCAAAGAAGTTATCAGTAGGGCACCGGCTGTGGTTTCACCAGATCGGTGAAATTCTTCAGTTCTTGAGAAGAAATGTAATTATAAACTCAAACTTCTTGTAAAGTGGGAGTCACCGTGGTGTAGTGGCTAGACGCTAGGTTGCAGATCGGAAGGTCGGGAGTTCGAGTCCTGACGGGAGGCGGACTTGGCTCCCAGGTCGACCCAGCTTTGAGTGGGTATCAGGTAAAGTCATGGGAAGTAAAGGCCACCGGCATGATGCTGACCACATCACCCACCAAGAGCCGTTTGATACATTCAATATAGGTCTAGCCCTATACATCCAATAAGCCCGAAGTCGTGAAAAAGTTTCCTTTTTATTTCTTCTTGAAAACGGGGATGGACCGTGTTGTGTGAAGGGGCAAAACAAGGAAGAAAATAAAAATGAAGGAAGACATGACTACAGAAAGGACGGGAGCTGATCGTCTGAGAAGACACAAGCTAAACACATACGAAGACAACTCCCGTCCTGAAATCCCATCAACAACCGTCCTGAAATCCCATCAACAATCATCCTGAAATCCCATGAACAACCGTCCTGAAATCCCATCAACAACCGTCCTGAAATCCCATCAACAACCATCCTGAAATCCCATCAACAACCGTCCTGAAATCCCATCAACAACCGTGCTGAAATCCCATCAACAACCGTCCTGAAATCCCATGAACAACCGTCCTGAAATCCCATCAACAACCGTCCTGAAATCCCATCAACAACCGTCCTGAAATCCCATCAACAACCATCCTGAAATCCCATCAACAACCGTCCTGAAATCCCATAAACAACCGTGCTGAAATCCATCAACAACCGTCCTGAAATCACATGCTCTAATTGTGGAAGACATCTCTTAACGCGGGCGGGTCTTGCTTGTCACACTCGCCGCCGCCAACGTCTGTGAGTAAAATGCCTCCTCACAACACAGTATAACACTGTAGTCTGGAAATATGGAAATTTGCCAACCAGCAAAAGCTTCTTGTAATAAGAATGCTTTCCCTACTACCGGATTCCAACCCTGTATACTTTTAGCCTGAGTTGGACACCATGACCATATCTTCTCAACCAATCTCTCCTTCTTTAACAGAACAATTAACGCTACCCGGTTCCACAAAACGAATTGGAAAATGACATAACAGGACTCGTGAACAATTGTCAAAAACAAACAACATCTGTAAGCGCTTGCCTGGCTTGAAACACAAAAATACACCCGCGTGTGTATACTCAGTGATTCAATGAGTATGATCCGGAGGGTTCAGGCAGGTTCAGTGCGAAGACAATTGCTTGAATCATTACAGAAGTCCACTGTCCGTGGAGTCACCTTTATTTTTGTTCCGGGACACGCAGGCGTCGATGGAAATGAAAGAGCTGACAGGTTGGCTGGATCCGCTATCACTACCGACGGTCAGCCTATGGATCATGCTGATATTATCAATGCCCTCAGAGAAATGGGAAGGATAGACCACTTTGGTGGCAGTGAATCCACATCACTCGCCAGAATGGCAGACTTGGGAATTAAGATCGGCACAGCAAAAAACGAGACGCACACCAGCTACGCCAGAAGACTTGTTAATCAACATAGAACTGGTACTATTAGACATCGGACGTTGGGGTTCATACTGAGGGGAGGATCTGAGCACCTATGGACATGTCCGGAGTGCAATGAGGATAACCCAACTAACTAACTAACTAACTAAACAACATCTGTATTGCCAGAACAGGAAAGCGAGACGACTCATTAATTACTTTTTGACAACAAATCGTATTTGTGGCATCTACAGCTAGTTTGCGCAAATAATATCGACCGCGCCAGCCAAGTTGTTCCCTGTATCTGGTTCTAATCACGTTGACGGATGGCGAGTGGTTATAATGACTCTTGAGTTGAGTTGATTCAAGAACCGACATCGCAGCACTCGGGGCATTCCTATAAGCGCTCCGTCCCCGTCACCAGCAGCCAATGAAGAATTCCGATACTAATAGTAAAAGTAGCATTCTGATTAAACGTCCGTCCTGCCTTTCCTCTGAGCCTCGAGCATATGCCTGAGCCTCTCGTCCCCCCCCCCCCCCCCCCCCTGCATTAATCTCACCAGACTGTGGATATCCAGCTGCTTCTCCGAACTGTACACGCTCTCCCGCAAGGCACTAACCACGTTTGCCTTATCATGTATCAGTATTCCACCAAGTTGTGCAGAGCCAGCCAGTCTGTGCGCCTGTTCATTTCCCAACACACCGGCGTATCCAGGAGTAAAAAAAATCTAGAAAATACTTCTCACCCATGTCTTCCGCAGTCAAGCATGCCGCTCTGCACGAAGCATGCGTCCTGACCTTCCTCAGCATGCTTTCTGAGTCAGTTACAATCATGATGCGTGTGTGTGTGTGTGTGTGTGTGTGTTCGTGTTCTCTTACCAGTAGAAAGCTGGGTGACCGCCTCCACCTCCATTCTTAAGCAGGATGTTGTGGTATCAGACGCTAGACTCTCCTGTACCAAACGTCGACCATTAACTCTTGCTAAGAAACCCCAATGACTCCTTTGAAAGACTAAGTTTTAATTTTTAAAAAGGATGAATTAACTTACACGATATTTGAGCTCCATGACGGGATTGAGCCTGTAAGGGAGTTTTTCTTGTTAGCATTCACCGGCTGTAAACTCTGGCGAAAAGTTCTGGTTGTTCGTTCACCTACTCCTGGACTTTGGTCTTGATTCAGAACTTAAATTTCACGTGCACATCCGTTTTACAGATCTGGCTTATATATCTGCAGAATGTTGTTAGTCACCTTGGAGCGCCGGAACCCTTGCCGGGACCTATGAAAGTGAAGGTGATATGAAGCTTTTTTTGTGTGTGTCGACCATGTACAGAAATACAATTTTCTTAGGAGTTATGTTGCCCGACGGCGCTAGCTCAGTTGCTTAAACCAGCTGTGTGGCAACAGGGTGACAAACTCCTTGTGGTCCGAGTTCAAAGAGTTTACAACCCATGGTTTCTGGATCAAAAAAAAAAAAACGTTTTGTTGCTGGGTTGCTTCCCTTCTCTTAGCTCACAAACTTCGATTTTGTATAGGGTAATAAACATTGTTATTTCTTACCAAAGAAGAAATAATTGAACTCCTTATAAAAAAAAACGGAACATTTTGAACCCAAAAAAAAGTGAATCATACGACGGAAAGCACAAAGACAAAATGAGAAAAGAAAAGGAAGCAATACATAAAGATAGAAGGATAAAATACAGCAACATAAAAAGAATGAAAGACAGATGAAGAAATGAATAAATGAAATCAATACAAAAAAAAGAATTTAGGGGTATAATATACCTTTTTTTTTTTTTTTTGTAAAGTAAGAAAACAAAAAAGATATAGGGAAATGGAACAACAACAAAGCAAATTAGAAATGTAGAAGGGATTGAAATAAAAAGGGAGCAAATTATGCAGGAAACCAAGAAATAAGATATAGTAAATATGAAAACAGGATGTGCAGAAATGAAATAAATAAATAAAAACAGAAAAGCATTCAAGAAAAAAGAAAGAATAAAGGAAAAAGAAGAACAAAAGTAATGAAAGAAAGCAAGGAAGAAAAAAGCTAGTAACCCATAAGTGCTCCGTTCTTCTTCTTCTAACTCAAGTCTGATATTAAGAAGCTTAATATAGTGCACAGGTTCTGTAGCACCGGCGAGAATCCTGAAATACA